CTTAATAACGCGTGATATGACCTTAGAACTAATTTATTTGCTATAACTAATCCACCAGATGCAAGCACAAGAGATGGAATAAGATCATATGTTATGACACTATTGTAATATAGACCTTGGATAATGATTTGAGGTATATCTTCAACAAAAATGATTATGAAAACACCCCAAAGCATTATTTTTTTTGATCTTTGAGTAAAAGGAGCTGAAAATATTATAAGACCAAATAAATCCGACGATAAAGTGTTTAATATTTGTATATCAATAGCTGAAAATAATGTGCACATTGATGATAATGTCGGAGACTCCTTAACCCATTTATTGAACGATGGATTCATTGCCATTTCAGATACAAAAATATTTATGGCTAATAAAAAATTGATTACAATAGGTAAAATAAAGAATATAATACTAAATAATAACAAATAAGAAAATTAGTAATTAATTAAATTAATCTTTAAAATAATATAAATAAAATAATATTAAATGAGATTTCTTACGTTGGAATAAATAGATGTGGTGTATTTTTAACCTTTAATAATATGAATGACAGATCCACAGCAATATCTTGCATTATATAACAGGTCTCAAGTATCACAGAGTTTCTTGCATTGGGATTTTTTTTACGCGCCAAAACATATAATACTATTATTACAGCCAAACCTACTACAAATATGATGATTAATGGATAAAATTCCTTGATATAATCTCCTGTAAAGTAATAGAATTAAAATTTAATGAAATATTAATCATTTACAAATAACAAATGTCAAAAATATTTAATGAACACACTTACGGGTCATTATAAAAGGGGCACTTTCATCAATTAAAGATGTATATTCATTGAATGAAAGTGCAGTAAACCCTTTTTTGTTTATCAAGGTACTTAGGTCATTGAATATTATATGGGAGCTTGATTCGATTATATCATCTTTAGCTTCAATTATGTTAAATGACAATAATACTTTTTTTGGGAAAGTAGGGTCATATTGCCATTTACCACTTGTCGATAATCTCTGTTCAGTTACTGGAATTACTTTAGCAAATTCTTGAATCATATTCTTGAAAAATATTGAATGATTCATTTGGAGAAATTTTGAACTTCCTTCCTCATTTAATCGAAGTAATCCTGTAACTGAATCTGAGTGTTGTGCCATTTTAAGTGGTTCTAAATATAGTAACAGAATATAAATTTTTCTATTCAATCATTAAAAAATTAAAAAAAAATATATGTATATTACTTGTTGAAAGTGTCCAAATATTCTTTCTAATTCCAACTAAAGGTTCATCTCTCTCTTGAGAGATGACAAAATTATTTTCAACAAGCACATAGTAGGTAGAATTCGGTTGGTTGAATGTGCTTTCAAAAATTGGAATATACACTGTATGGTTATCACTTCCAATAATACATAATTTAGAATCTCCCGATAATGTTTGGCGTAATAGGTCCGGTTTATATTTATCATCATTTTTTTGAAATATTGAAACATTCGCAGTAGAAAACTTAACTGGAATGGTATATTTGATCATAATTTCTTTGATCAAAGGATCAATAACTTCATTTATAGATGGCTTGGCTGACTCAATTACAGGACTAAATTCAGAACCTACAGATAAAAAAATTATTATACTGCATATATATATGTAAACAAGAAAAAAAAGAGATTAAAAGCTTACTCCGATTATTTTTTAATTTTGGCATAGGCTTGAATAAAAATTCTAATTTGTTTTTGGCCTGTTCCTTTACTCCAAAAATAGTATTATTTACCCGAAATGTATTATAATAAAAGAACCCTGGCCCGAAAGATCCCTGTGATTGCATATAATTTCCATTATCATCCAAAAGATAAAAATCAATAGCAGTTGCATTTTGGTAAATCGCAATAAATCCTCCATAATATAAAGTTCTCAAATCAATGTCTGTAATATTTGTTAGAGTAGGAATTATCTCCAATCGTACTAAGGCCCCAGTTGATAAAAATCCCAACTGATAATAATTTATCTCAGTTTCTGAATTATTATTATTCATAATCGTGTTATTTAATGTCATAACACATATATATCCTTCAGCATTATAAGTTGAAGTACATGATTTAAGTGTTATATTATTTACTTTCTGAGTAGTTTGGTAAAGTAAAGAGGGTTTTGTAGGTAAATCTGTTTTCCCTTTTAAAAATGACAAGTAAATTCTCCAGTATTGAAGATTCGGATCTTTTGTTACTGGTGATCCTTTCATTTCATCATATTTTAAGATATACAGGAAACCAAAACCTCCATCCAATAAATTAAAATTTAAACTATCTACTAAGGTATATGATAGTAGATTTGGCGCATGAAATTCGCCACTACTATGTTCCACCACTTCTCCTGTTACAATATTTCTAAAATAAGATGAAAAAGTTAATCAACAAATATTTTCAGAAAAAAAATTGTTTATTAATAAAAATACTTACGGAAAGCTATACCAATGCCATGCTGATATTCCTTTTTCGTCTGGCTTTTCAATATTAATAAACCCTTCATTTGATGATGCAACATATCCGTCAGCATTTCCTAAATATATTTCGCTAAAAAGAAGAATTATTATTGAGTCATTATAATTTACCTTCATAAATGAGGATGTTCCATCATTTAAGCTTACCTCATAATCTCACCGCTATAATTAATTATCAATCCATGTTTTTCCTTAATTCCATTTGTTGTTTTAGTATAATACAACAAAATATAATTGTCAGCTAAAGGTAACAAATCAATATTAATGGGGCAAACTGCTTCCGCAGGAAGAGTGTAATTAAGGTCTATATAATTATTGATTTGTCCTGTTCTTTTATTTTTCAATCGTAAATGGAAATAAGGTAACATGCATTCTGGATTTTTATCTTCAAAGGCCATCCAAATCATCAAATAATCATTAGTGGGGAAAATAGAATAAAGTTTAAGACCATCAATTGGTTCTTCGTAAATGAATGATATATCTTGGGGCGATATATCTTGGAGAGATGCATTTTGAGATAATGTACCTCGTGGTGAGATGGATGAGACGATGGATATTAAACAGAAAAAAGTGATCAACACTTTTAAATTGAACATTTTTACTAAGAGATTTGAAAATGGTAAATTTTTTTACTAAGAGACTTGAAAAATGGTAAGTTTTTTTACTAAGAGACTTGAAAAATGGTAAATTTTTTACTTTGGGAATTACAGAACAGAACATTTATATATATTTCTCGCTATTATAATTTGATTTATTTATTAACTATTAAATTAACTATTAATAACTTTTCTTTTTATCAAACGTGTTTCAATTATTATTGTAATACAATTTCAAGCATTTCTATTATTATACTACCAAATTTGTATTTCAAAAACTGATCTGCATTGCTTTATTCACATATGTAAAAAACGTGGTGATAAATAAACACACGCGGTCTTTGTTTTTTTTTATTCACTTTCATTAGTATAATTCGCTAATTTTGAACTATAAAAACTGTAAAAAGTATGTTATAGAAATTTGAACTAGTCTATTAATAATTAATTAGTAATTTAAATTGTTTATGTCAATACACTTTGAAAGTAATTCGGAACCTAGTATTTGGTATGATGCACATGCGTTTGGTATCAAAGGAATTAGTAAAACATCAATTACCTTGTACAAATAAACTTTGGAAGTAATTAAATCATATAAGCACTGTGATCAATGAACTTAAAGATATGGTAAATTATTCGCACAAATAATATTCTGGAAATAAATATTAAATTTTTTAAATTTATTAAAATTTATCATAATTTAGCGATAAAATTATGATATCACTGCTCGCAGAAATTTGACATTTTGGTATATTACAGCTATGTTTCATCATTCTATGATTATTGGATGCAAAATGGCGCAATAAACAAGCCAATTTGCTGACATTTTGACATATTATTCCTCATCTACTGTATTGTTCCTAGAGATATGAAACCATTGCAAGGGAATGGAAGGATATTCATAAAAGTTTACGTCTTAATTTAGCATAAAACAATGATAGAGAGCGTGGTAACACAACATAAGCATTATGTTAAATTTAAAATTTTTAACATGAGACATTCCTATTGTTTTAATGTCATGATCAGCCGATCTATTTTAAGACAACAATCCGTAATAAATTACGGAGACATACTACACGTTGCAGTCGTTACATTCGTTACAATACACAACTCAAAATTTACTTATACATGGTAATCTATAATTTACTAGAGATACAGTAAAAAATTTATTCCGTGTTTTTTTATTCCATGTTATTTCCGTAAATGTATCAAATTCACGGAGTTTATAGCCTCAAACATGAAAATTATCCAAGTTACTTAAATTATTTTCTCATAAATGTATCATATTCACGGAGTTTTTCAGAAATTACGTTTTACAAAGCTAGTTTAATTAGTATTTCTATTTAACTAGTTATAATTATGAATAATAGTTAATTATTCTATTACTATTAAAAATTAAAGTATTTATATATTTATTCCTTACTTTATTATTACTATCCAAAAAGACTAGTATTTAAAAAATTTATAAAATATTTATAGTATTAAATATTAATAATTAAAATTGATGAATAAATATAGAGTATATATACTACAATTAGTACAATATGTAAATCCATCATCATCTATATACCACACAATCTCTCGCTTTCATGTTCCAAACTTGTGAAGGAAAATGAAAATGAGAAAAAAGAATATGAAAACGGGGATAAAGAAAGTGGAGAGGAGAAAATTATTTTCTTAACACTGTGACTTGTGTGACTTGTTATTATTCTAGTAATATTCACGAATATGTAAATTCATAGAATATTTAGATGTACAATGAATCCTAATATCCGTTGATACTTGACACAGCAATTTTAACAAATCCTAATTCCTGTTTTTTTTTAAAAAGGAAGAAAAGTGATATTGTAAAAATTATATAACTAATTGGCGCATGGCCTTTAGCCATTTGGTCGAGGTTGGAACGTTGGATGTTTGTCCATGGCTAAAATGGTCAAGTATAGCCAAAAAATCTAACTAAAAGTGACGATCACCACTACCAAAAATTGGGAGTTCCGAGAAGTGAATTAAAATTCTGTCTGAAATTTCGCCCTAATAATGCTAGTATGGTGAGGATCACTACTAGTGAGCTAAATGCCAATTATCATTTGCACATGAAATTTTTTAGGTCATGTAATTCCACATGTATTAGTTCGGAAATATGTGGAATTATATCCTACGTGGATTCACATCGAATTTTGTGGATTTACGCCCAGGGTATTTGGAAAACATTAGAACTATTCGGATTTCCATTCCACAGTATTCCATGTGGATTTTTAGAGGAAAAAATTTCCTGATGTGGTCAAAATTTAGTTCTCTAACATTGCAGCCTTCAAAAAAATTGTTAAATTTTGTGCATTAAAAGCAGCTTATTAACGTTAGCGAGGCCATATATAGTCTACATTTATTGTTAACGTTTCAAATATATGAATTGTTAATTAATCCTTTTCGACCCTATCTTACTTAAAATTTTATCCAATCGATCTTATTTTTACCTAGCATATTTTGATTATACCTGCGGTTAAGAAAATCATTTGCTGTATAATATCAGATATTTCGATATAAGACCATTATTAACTAGTATTCAAAGATTTCCTGCGACTTATCTCTTCAACGTCCGTCAACATCGATAATAGATAATCGTTTCAAGTATCGTATCACTTTTTAGATTATTATATAAATAGGATAGGGATTAAACGTTTGAGTACTACATATTACTATCAAGAACTGAACTAATAAATAATCTAAAAATGTTAGTGTAACGGAAATTAAAACGCTTAATGCATTTTTATTTCAAAAAAAGGTAAATTATATACAGAATTAATATTTATTTGTTAACTTTTTTTTTTGAATAATATGAAGCGCTTTCTTTTAATGTAGCATTAAGCGTTTAATGGTTTAAACAAATTTGTATTTACCACAATAAGTGTCCATTGTGGTCCGTGTATATATATGTATTTTTGAATAATATGATTTAAATGGCGTAAAGATTTAGGTTAACCTTTTTATTACGGTCCTGATCCGGATAGAAAAAATCGGCAGCAATTATTTCATGTTTAGATATAGTTTGTCTAAGAAGTTGGTTAATAGTTAAAAATTATTATTGATATTTTATTATATGAAAATTCGTAAAAATGAAAAAAAGGAAATGTTTATCAAACAATTGAAGCAACTTTTGCAGGAGAAATTACTATGACGATGAGAATAACGACAATAGGGATAGTAGAAGTAATAGTTATATTGAATATACAACAATATCTGATGCAAATAAAATATAGGATGAAGAAGAAGAAAGCTTCAGTTAAAATTGTTAGTTATATCTTAGTCTTCTTTATTCAGGTAAATATTTTTTTGAAATGTGACGATTTGCGATTAAATTTAAATTTATAAATGATAAATAAATATATTTAAAAAAAATAAATCATAATGGACTCCTGTACAGGTTTCTAACATCGGATCGTAGTGCAACATATATATTTTTAATTAGATTGATAAACCATGGATTTATGTGAAAGGTAATTAATTATAAACACGATATTAAATAAAATTTCTTCAATTTTATTTATCAAAACTTTATATTTTTAATTAGGAGTTAATTAGGTGGAATTGGAAATGCATTACAATATATGATCCATTCTTTAAAGAATAAAAAGTATTACTTATGTTATATGGATCATTTCGTTCGTTTTAACATTTTAATTTTACAAGTAATAGTCATATAATGGTGTGGGTTTAAAACGAAAATAATAAATTTTTACCAAAATGATAATGAATTTTATGATATTACTATTGAAGTTAGTAATGACCCTTACGTAAAAATTTTTTGCGCTCATATAATGTTCTATCAGTTCCGACAAATCTCGTGTCAGCAGTCGTGGTAATACTGCGCTGGTAGCATGATTGGATTCACCAGATACAAACTATAAAATTGGCTGATGACTACCATTTTTCTCCTGGGGTACTCACAACTGAAATAGGATATGGTGTTATTATTTATGCTGATGAAATGTAAATATAAAAGAATTAATTAAAATCTTTTTAAAATAAAAATTGGCCAAATTAAAAATTCATTAACTTTAAAAATTAATTTTACATTCAACACTTTAAAATTAATTTACCAGTGGAAAATGTGTTACAGATCAAATGATATATTAAATAATTAAATAATTTTTTGAGAGACCTGTATTATTTATTATTTGGACGGATAAATTAGATATATAAAATTTCTTGTTTATGTCACAATGAGTTTAGTTCATTTACGTTATTTTTATTAGCAGTAGAAATCAATTACGTAATTATAATAATATATAATGTTGTTATATGAACTTTGAGAGTTGTGACAAAAGAAAAGTGATATAATATTTTACATTATATGCTATGGCTTATGTTAAAACTTTATCTATAAGAACAACCTGATCTCCTCGATAAAATAACAATAGAAAAAAGTCTTTTAAAGTTGTGATAGCAAAAAAGGTTGTTCCTTCCTAAACATAAAACTATTAACTTTCTATCCCGTTAGATATTATTCTTTATAGCCAAAAACTTCAAACATTGGATCAGGGAACGGTAAACAAAAGTAAATAAGCTAGAAAGGTTATGTGAAATTTTGTCGATACTTAGTAAAAAAATTTATGTTACCATATAACCGATATACTATATTGCACTGTAAATTCAATATAAATAATTGTATAACAATAGGGTAGTGATGTGCCATTGGAAGATTGGAAGCACTCTTGGAAGCACCTTTGGAAGATTTGGAAACATAATTTACTAATAAAACCCTTGGATTGGAAGCGAATTTTATTCTATTGGAAGCACAAAATGCACATCACTGCAATAGGGTGTCAAATAGAATTTCGCGCTGGTAGTAGCGCTCGTGTCCGGATCATTACTAGTGCAGCTCACCGATTAGTCGTTTGAACGTTCGTACACGCCGACATTCACAACCCTGACAAATAATAATCTCGAAAATTCAAAATCCTGAAACTCAATTATTTCCGATACTTAGTCACTCATTATCCAGATATTCATTATCCCGACACTTGTTATCCCGACACTCTGCAAAATATTATAATAATCATATTTTTTGTGAAGTATTATAAAATCATTG